CTCTCTCTCCCCATCTCTCTCTCTCCCCATCTCTCTCTCTCCCCATCTCTCCCTCTCCCCATCTCTCTCCCTCTGTCCAACTCTCTCGCTGTATACCTGGCGGCACACATCGCTGGAGTCTCCCTCACAGATGCATTCACTCTCGGAGAACGAATCCGTCTGCTGGCAGCTGATGTTTCCCTTGTTCTTCAGACACTGCGCCGCTCTGCTTTCCACGCGTTGCTCCCCACACTTGGCCTCGATGGCCGCTACCTAAAAACAGGGTTAGAAATTAACTTTTGAACAAGGGAGTCCAACGGACTCCCTGCCTTCAAAAAGAGGGAGTCCGCAGCAAAATGAGGGAGTCCACAGTCTGAAGCCGAGTTCAAAACTAAAGATATTAAGATGCGTGTGCTTATTTTGAACTTCATGCGGTTGCAACGTCTGCCAAAATGGCTTTGGACATTTGCTGAAAAAATACGGCAATTCCACGAGGCCGTGCTCTGGAACGAACTAGTTAGTATAGCAGAATTTGCAGGGAGTCACACGGACTCCTGCGTATGTCAAATCAGAGAGTGTTTGACTCCGGACTCGCACCGTGAAAAAGAAAACCATGCGGTACAGTCACAGTCGGTACAGACGTGCAGTGTGTCGGTACAGACATGTGGTAGTACAGGTTACTACAGGTTTTCACGTCTCAAAATCTGCGGTTTATGAATGTCGAATGGAATGTGAAATTGAATATGTGCATTTTGGGGAGAAGAAATTCGCCCGAGCGGACTCGTCTGAGCATCTAGTTACCGGCTAATAATCGGTTATGCTAGTTTATAGAATCTCTGAGTTAATGAAGTGAGAGAGCATCTCTATAGAATAATGAGGTAATAATACTTTATACAAGCTATAGGTATTATTAGCTCTTGATAGAATCTGTGTCTGTAGAATCTACCCTATAGAATTTCAGACGTTCTTGAATTTATTCTAAATCGGAAGACAAAGGTACATAAATCCAGTTGGGAAACCAGCCAAACCTGCATATTCCCAGGAGCTCTATATATTATCAGGAGTTAATGAGACAAATTTGTCTCATTAACTTCTGATATTATGTCCACACAAGTCACGTGCATACACAGAGGCACTGGTTGCACGGCTGGTGCTGAAACCAGATTTGGAGATATCGCGCGCACACGCAGGATTTCGCTTTCGCTCTAAACGAGCCAGCTGGGACATAATTTATTCAAATTCATTTGCCCGTCATGTGCAATGCTATGCAAGTATATATATATTTAGCATAGTTGTACTGGGTGGTACGCGTAGCGAAGGAGCTGCTATTGCATCGTCTCTTTGTTGTTCTAGCATCGCAACAACGTAATATTACTGCCACGTTTCGTTGTGAAAAGTCGATGTTATAAATCGTTGAAATACGTCATGTTTGTGATGTTTAAAATTGATTCATTTGTTCTGACAATTCGCAAGAAAGTCATGGTTTTATAGACCGCTGTGTCGGTTCGCCTGTGTGTTTGGTCGGCTGTTTATATAACCCGCAACCTGCGTACAAGGCACAAATGTTTACACGGTTTATACACCAGTGTCGCTGGAACGTCACGTAAAGTCACTTGACCTCAACAACTATAGAAGAGTTATAGTATAGTTATGTCTGATGATGTTTTATATGTAATAGCGTGACTTTAGATGTAGAGATATCTGTTCAACCAGTGAGTGACGTTTACCCCTTAGATTCGCGATGGCGAATTGCTTTCCATGTTTTATGCATCGATAGCACAATTCACGATATTTCTTTTCGATTATTAGAGTAAGGCCGGCTCTGAATCGGCTAAGCGAATCCGTTGGTCGCCGGTTTCGTTCCGTTTTCACCCGTTTTATCTCAGATATTACTGGGTTTCGCCCGAATCTTTACCTCTGGTTCATTCAGCAGTTTGCATCGCTACGAATTCGTGAAAATTTAATTGCGACTGTTTCGCGCACGACGATGTTTTTTCATTGATTTATTATTTTTTTAATTTACAGCTGTAAATAATCGAGTGCGCGCGCCGCTGCTTTGGCACGTCGCTGTGAGCGTATATTTTTAGTCAGCGTAACTAATAGTTACGGTGAATGTTCGCTCCCTGTGCTAATGATTGTGTGGAGGAGGAGATCAATGCTCCCGCAAGTTGCCCGCCGTAGCTATTCCGTGGTAGATATTTTCAGATATATTAGTCATGGGTAACAGCCGGTGTCAGTCTCGCGCAACTGCGTACAAAGGTTTTACGCACCTCCAACCTGTCGCCACGTCAGTGTCACGTCACTAGACGTATATATATATATAGTATATATATATATATATATATATATATATATATATAT